ACAATACTCTATGGTACCATGGTTTAACATCACATTCACCACAGGTTTGCATGTCACAATATGGTGCTTATCTACTCATAATAATTCATAATTTAGTTCACTTACATCAGACAGGTGTTTCACAAAATTAATTTGGATAAAGCCAATGTGCAGAACTTTAGTTATATAACAATAGGTGTCTGCTTACCTGTTTTTAGTAGTCCGGACTCTTTGTGAAACACACCGTCCAACGACAGCGATGTCCAATCGGCCGGACAATACCCAGCGAAGTCCCTCTACCAGATCACGTTGGCGGTCACCAATTGTTAAGTTGCGTCAATTCAAATCTGGTATAGGAACAAAAAGAGGTCAATACACGTCTTCTAAAATAGACTAGTATTTTAATGAATGCAAACACTTGAATTGGTAAATATGATGTTCGTATATACGGGCCCACTGAAAAACCACGCAGGGCAGACAGAGAACTGAGCCATTGTTATAAGTTCTTCTTTAAATACTCTGACAGAGATAGTTCCCGCTCCCTGCTGGCCTATCAGAGTAGAGACTGAGCGTGGTTTAGACTTACTCAGCCTATCCTTGGCGCACAGGCTGGTCCCGGCCCCTTGGCGCTTCACTGTTGCCAGGCATTAGTTGTTATCTCCACAACTTGGCTCGAGTCAGCAACCTCAGACATCTTTGTAGCAGAACACATGTCCTTGAGCGGTTTAACAAAGAGGCAGTGTGTGTGTATGTGAGACACAAGTCTTATCTCATCCTACCCCCTAACAGTTCCCCACATTAATCACAGCTTGTTATATTAAACAATCTATATCAGTACAGTACAAACCTATTATGTTTAATCATTAATGTATTCTTTCTAAGCTAGGCATCACATCTAGTTATAAGAAAATAGAACCCCACACTACTTAACACCTTTGAACAGAGTGCCGGCCGTAATTTGTAGTGATGGGGAAACGAAGCGTCCTGAAGCATTGATGTTTTCCAGCCAATTGTGTCAAATAGGTTCATTACTCAAGGCTTTAATCAACAGTGTACACTAGTGGCACCTGCTGGTCAAAAGAGCTCTGGCATCAAACGTAACATCGCTAGTAATTTTCAAACCTATTCTACATGTAGAAACGGGCAAAAATTGTGGAAGTCGGACATCTACTGGCAGGTGGTCCCTAAAACACACTGCGCCAAACGAACGGCAAACCGTCATTCGGTGCGATGTGTTTTCTCCGTTACATGTCATTTGGCTAGTTTAAGGGATGCTTCTGGATACTGGCAATGAGGACCTTTATCTACTTCCCCCGAGTCAGAAACTCGTGGATACCATTCTTATGTTTCTGTGTGCAGTTTGAAGGAAGTTGCTAACTAGCGCTAGTGCAATTGCTAACTAGTGTTGGCGCAATGACTGGAAGTCTATTGTACAGTATCTGCTAGACTTTCAGTCATTGCAGCAGATACCATAGACTTCCAGTCATTGCGCTAACGCTAGTTAGCATTGTCTCGCGGAATTACCTCTAACTTCCTTCATACTGGACGCAGAGACATAAAAATGGTATTGTATCTGTCAAAATCCCGAAGTATCTATTTGGACAGCTCAATTGGAGTGAGACCGCACTTATTCTGTGGAAAGGAATGAAGAGTTCTGTTGACAGAACAGCAAAGTTCAACTGAACTTGAGGGAACACAATAGCAATCACTTCAAAAGGGTGATTGCATTAAAATCTATTCTGAGCAGCTGAGAATGGAGATTCTCCTCTCTGATGATGAGCGTAGCAGCACATCACCTTGATGTTACAGAGCAAAGCTGTTTCAATAAATCACAGAGTCCACAAACGTCCCGTAGAATAGAGCACGGAGGGAGCCCTGAGGAAGGGTAGGCAGTTCATTCTCCCTGCTCTGCTAACTACTGAACCTCAGTCCTGACAGAACAATGAGGTGTTCTGCTGCCCCTAGAGCCTGCTTCCATGTGCTACTGCTGTGGCCTTCTCTCCACAGCCTGGCCTGGCCGCCCTGGCACAATAGCTCTGAGGTGGACGAGCAAGCCCTTCTCTCCGGGGTCCATTCTCTCCTCGAGGGGGTGGTTGGCCGGCCGCAGTGACAGATTGAGGAGTAGATGCCCAATTTGCCCGCCTCATTCTCACAAATGTATCCCACTTTTTACAGTGTTTAATTTGCGTGGCCATAGAGGCATACTCACCACACAAAGCTTGGCCATTTTCATGAAGAAAAATGTAATTGCTAGCTAGCTCCATACCACTAACCCACAAGTAAAATGTTTTTACCCACAAGTATATGAAGGGTGAGCATGGATTTTTATTTCCTCACTTTGTGACGCTGACCGCGGGGTGTTTTGGGATTGTTTCTGAAGTTAGAGCTGATTTGGAGAAAACCTAAAACCCAACTTTTAGAACAATATTACAGTATTATACAAATGTATTTAAGAGTTTGCAATTTTGGGAATGTTTTCTTGGGGTGCTCTCAGTTACTATTATATGCATGTATGGCATTGAGAAATAGCTGCTACATGCCCTTTAAGGCTGGGATTCAATCTGGTGTAATGATCCTGATGATTTGTCGCCACAGATGGTTAGTTTACGTTTCTACTGTTGTAAAATGTGGCTAGATGGAGTAGGCCTACAGCTCCATCTAATGGTCGCGTCAGTGACAACAGTTGTTGAAAACTGTAGCATTGTAGCTAAACTGTAGCTAAACTTAACCCTTTTCCTAATCTTAACCTCATTCTCCTAACCTGCTATGTTAATTCACCTAACCTGCTGTGTTAGTTCTCCTAACCTGTGTGGTGATACCATAGAGATAGATAGAGGACTCATCTTTGTATCTGTGCCATTATAGCGTCTGTGACAGCATGGGCAGCGCCATTGAGGCCATCATCATTTTGAAGTAGTCCATTTTCTTCTTCACGATTGGTTTATCCCTCCCATTGATCCGGTTGAACATGACTCCAACAGGGTCACCAGGAGGGGTCAGCCAATGAAGTTGGAAGTCCCACCCAGTTGACTACATTAAAATGGTGGAAGCCTTCAAATGGCGCTGCCCATGCTAATACTAGGGGCCTCTATCATTCTCTATGGGTGGTACTGCTGATTTGTCCCCACATATGGTTTGTTTACATAGCAGGTTAGGCTAATTAACGTGGCAGGTTAGCATAATTAACGTGGCAGGTTAGGAGAAAGAGGTTAAGGTTAGGAAAGGGGTTGGGGTTAGGCTTAGCTACAATGCTACAGATATCAACAACTGTTGTCCCTTACACAACCAATAGATGGCGCTGTAGTCCTTCATCTAGCCACAACAGTAGAAAGGTAAACAAACCATCTGTGGCGACAAATCATCAGTATAACAACACCGAACTGCGTTAGATCTGCGTAATAGCGTGCTTGACGTTTAAAGGTAATTTTCAATTGGGCTGACATTTGCAGCATTCACCGTGAATGTGATCTCCGCGAACGCGGTAACATTGCCTTTAAAAGCTGCACTGGCTACAAGGGCGATCGTATTGAATCCCGGCCTTAGTTAATGTACTGAAACAAGACAACAGATGTATCAATGATAGACCATTTATTATTTATTTCAAACACTTTCAAGATAATGTTTTGGGGTCCTCCATAATGTAAAGTATAAAACATTGCGGGTAAATTTAATAATCTGACCATTTATCCAGTTTTCTATATTCATTATAAAATAGGATGTTTTTTATACAATTTAAAACAGGCACTGTGTCAAAGAACAACTAAAAACATATACCCAGGAAAGGAAAGGACCCAAACATACATCACAGATATAGTACACTGTTGGTTTAGTCAGCCGGATCAATTTACCACATTCTATCACAAGCCTTTTTTTATTCTTAAGGTATATGACAAGATCAAGTATTATCAAACCCATGAAGCAACTGCTTGTGATTATTTAAAAACAGCTCTGATCCTGTTATCCATCTGGCAGTGGATTGGACTAGCCCACTTAAAGGGGCAGTGCAGTCAAAAACGTGATTTCCCTATTTTATTTATATTTCCACACTACGAGGTCGAAATAACACTGAAATTGTGAAAATGAGGATAATGCCCTTTTAGTGTAACATTTTTTTTTTTTATGGGATGGAGTTTTTGGCCTACAGCATGACATCACAATCTGATTATTCTGACCAATGACCAGTCATCTTTTATTTGCATAAAATGTATCCTCTTACTCTGAAGGGGTAAGCGGGGTAGGCTCTAGAGCCCTCAAACTCAACTCTGGCCCTCGGAGCCAGTTCCAGTGCGTTTTTTCATTGTTCCCCTCTAATCAGCGACTGATTTAGACCGGGTACAGTTAATTATCAGGTAGAACAGAAAACCAGCAGGCGCCGGACCTCGTAAGGTAAGAGTTGAATACCCCTGCTCTAGGCCAGGGTTTCCCAAACTCAGTCCTGGGGCCCGCCCTGGGTGCATGTTTTGGTTTTTGCCCTAGCACTACACAGCTGATTCAAATAATCAAAGCTTGATGATGAGTTGGTTATTTGAATCAGTTGTGTAGTGCTAGGGCAAAAACCAAAACGTGCACCCATGGGGGGCCCCAGGACCGAGTTTGGGAAACCCTGGTCTAGACTATCCTATCCGCCAATCAGGGCTGTGTATTATAAAGATCATAACTGTATTCACTTCCAGTTTAAAAAAGACACAGACCAGCCTTTCCAGCGTAAAAATACAAAACAGAAAACATGGAAAACGGTACAAAATGTTTTTCATCCAACCGTCTACAATCTACCACTCCCTTCTATCAGGCTCCCTCCGAAATCACTAAAAGAATCAGGCTATTTGGTTCTATGTAGTGTAGTAAGACTGATTTATTGCTAACTTTTCTAGTGTGAACGAAACAAACATTCAAAATGATCACAGATTACACCCAAACAGAGAAAAATCACCATTGTTGTGTCCCTGGACGGGGAGTACTAGGGACAGAATGTGTTGGTGTGTCCAGTCTAAATCCAGTCTGATTCAGAGTGGAGTGTCTATTCAGACGTCATCTTCCTCTTCCTCCTCATAGTAGCGGTTCCTTTTGATCATCTCCTCTACGGTGAGCTGTTCCCCCTCCCCTCCTCCCCCCCCCTCCTCCCCCTCCCAGAAGCCCACGTCCTGGGAGCTGCGGTTGTGTTTGGGCTGCGGGGGCGGAGATGCTAGGATGTCTGGAGAGGCACTTTGGCATTTTAGAGAAGCCTCTTCCTCTTCTGCTGCTTCTTTTCCTTTCTTCATCGGCTCTTCTCTCTTCTCCTGCATCGCCGGCAGACTCGCCACCTCCTTACAGCTGGTCTCTCCGTTCACTGCACTGCCGCTGGGCGGGGTGGGCTTGCTCCCCTCTTTTTCCTCCTCTCTCCCCCTCTGGGGTTGGGGTTCTGGTTCCTTAAGCGTGGATTGGCTGTCCTCCAGCGACCCCCTCCTCTCCAGCAGGGATTTGAGGGGCCGGCGGGGCTCCCGTGGCCCCAGGGCATTGGTTGTGGTGAGGCTGGGGGCCACCGAGAAGGGCCGACTACGCTCCTTCAGAGACGAGCTCCTCCTGAGGCTCTTCAGCTCGGCCCTGTCGGGGCTCAGGGTGGACGATGACACCTCGCCCTCCGGGGGCCACTTGGCCCTCCAGGGCCGGCCCACACCACCACCAGCCTCCAGAGCAGGAGAGGCCCCAGCATCAATGTCAGCAGGAGGGGGCCAGGCAACCCTCAGCCTGTGGGCCTCTGGTATTTTCTCGGCGGTGGAGAGTTTCTCGGTGGAGGAAGTGTGGCTGTGTGTCTCAAGAGAGGCAGTCAGGTCTGTCACCTTGGCCAGGGGAGACTCCTCCACCGTGGGGCTGGACTGTTTGGCTGGGGAGGGTGGTGTCTCGGCTGGACGGGACACCACCACCGCTCTTTCTGCCCGCTCCTTAGGCCTCTTCTCCACCTCCCGGTCTACTCCTTTTTCTTCCTCCTCCTCCTCTCCCTCGGCGCGGGGCGTCCACAGGTCCTTGTGGGGGCGGTGGCCGAAGCCCTCGTCGTAGTTGCCTTTGGCCTTGAACAGCTGGCTGAAGTGGGGCTTGCAGTAGACATTACCGTGCAGAGAGGCATAGCTCCCCAGGCTGAACAGCAGAGAGCAGCAAAGAACCACAAAAACATGTGTTAGGTAGATGCAGACAAGACACCGGTCACTGAAACAAATGTACATTTCAAAGCTAATGTTACTCCAATCGATTCAGCTTGGGATAAATCCAATTAAAAAGGCATATTGTAAAGATAGTATTATAATGCACGATAGACAATACTTTTTTTACATGTTCATTGTTCTTTCCCTAATGTTTTCTAAATGTTTTGGAATGTGACATTTGTATGAAAAAGTACATTTTGACAAAATGACAATATAATGTTATTTGAACTGTCCTGTAGTGAGTCAGCATCCCTACTAGTACCGGAGCTTGGTGTTGCAGTGGAGACAGCGGAAGCAGGAGGTGTGGAAGATCTGGGTGTTGGCCACCAGCCTCTCCAGCGGGTACACCGTCTTTAGGCACGCAATGCACGTCTCCCTCATGGGAAGGCAGAACTTCTACACACACACACACACACACACACATAAACTTACACTTTAAGGATTTGCCTTTCATACACTGAATTGTGGTTGTCAGTAACAACTCTTGCTGTCAGATTTTATATTGATATCCTTGATTTAATACAGTTGTAAGCGTCATTGTGATGGAGGCTATGGAGAGAACTCACTCTGGCTGCCTTGGGCAAGTCACTGTGGGCCGAGGATGAAGAGGAGGTACTACCCTTAGAGCTAGATGTGTCCATGCCATCCCCTGAAACAGACCAAACACATAACATACCGGTCAGACTACAGGGACCTCATCTTGACTCCAGAGGAGGTCAGTGTCACAGTTGGGCAGAGCAATATAACAATTGAAAAAAAGCAGCCAGGCTTTTCACTAGACACAGAGCAGTAACTCAGAGTAACGACTCAGTCGTGGCTCCACCCCTCTCTGCCCTTTAACCTAGAATACAGAGGACCAATCAGAGGTGAGAGCAGCCGTTGCCCCGCTGGGTGAGGTTCTGTCCCCGGCACCCCCAACCGAGAGCTGTGGGGTTGACATCATGAGAGATAGGGAGGGAAATTAAAGCTGACTCACCATTGGTCTCTGCTACAGCAACTTTTCTGCTGTAGGACTCTAAAGCCTGGCTCTGAGTGGGAAAAAGGAGAGAACCTTGTTATAGCAATCCAAAAAACAGTATAGCTTGTTCATCCATGTAAAGTAGTTTAAAAAAATCCATATGAAAGAGTTTACAGTCACTGTGTATTCATGTTTAAGAGCAGGTATTTTAGGAGACTAAGTTCAGTCTTGTATGTTAATTTACTCACAGCATATCAGCTTTGATTGGTTTACAGTGTGTATCTGTTTAAACGCTGCTACCCTATCCAATTAACTAATCTTCACAAACACAGTTTATCGTTTATCTCAAAGACTCACTATGTTCCCTCAGTCGCTCCCTCTCTCACGTACCCACCTCAAAACCAACTCTCTCTCACAGACAAATGCATGGGCACACACACATAGGTACTGACCACAGCCACACCACTAGGGGGCACATTTTCCTTCAGGCTGCTATCCTCTCCCTCTGATTGACTGGCCTGTAGAAGAACACAGTGATAAGACAGACATGAAATGCCAAACCATGGCCATCTTTACAAAATATGTGAAGTAAGATCTATCTTTCTTTGACATTAGATTAGCAACTTTTCCATTTACACTATCCTTACATTAGCCTTGGATGTTTTATTTATTTCTTACTAGCTCTCACTTTGCTGATAGCTACTTCATTGAGGGAAAATGTACTTACTATGACTGTGATATGTGGTTGTCCCACCTAGCTATCTTAAGATAAATACACTAACTGTAAGTCGCTCTGGATATGAGCGTCTGCTAAATGACTCAAATGTAAAAATGTAATGTGGTGTGACCAAGATTTCTGGACTATTAAACAAGAGCAGAGGACCACTTTCTAAAAAGGACATTTAGGTCTGGTGACTGATTCAACGGTGTCTCTAGTCTCTCTTAAATAGAGGAGACTAAACAATGTGAGAGGGGGGGAGTGTGTAAAAACTGTAGGATAACATCTATAATAAACAAACACGCACGCAAACTCACAGTGCGTGCTAGTGGGCCCTTTTTGGTAACGGCTGACTGGTACTTGGCCATTCTTTCCTTCAGGGAGGTGGTCTCTAGCACTCTGTCAGGGGACAACACTACGAGAAAACATGCACAGACAGACACGGACACACACACAGAGATTAGAATATATGATCTGCCACCTAGCTCTGCTGCAATGTTAACTGAAGCCCTGGATGTTGATTTGAAGCCAAAAAAAACACACTGGCCTACATTAGCTACTATGAAAAAAAGCTGGGAAAACACTGTCCTACATTAGCTACTATGAAACATTTTTGGAAAACACTGTCCTACATTAGCTACTATGAAACATTTTTGGAAAACACTGTCCTACTGTCAGACTGGGGTGATGTGTATGCGGCAGTGAAGTCAGGCGCAGGACACAGAGGATCAGGAATGACTACTTTACTTCCAGTAATACGCACAAAAACAAAAGTCTCCAACACTAGAGGAGTAACACGCGGAGTGCGTAAAATAACGAGCTAGCAATGCCAAACATACGACAGGACAAAAGGACAATAACACACAAAGGCAAACATAAAACAAGGGAACTTATATGTTACATAATCAATACAAAATAAGAAACAGGTGTACAAACTAGACAACACAAGACACACACCGAAACAACGATCGGCAGTAGCTAGTACTCCGGGGACGACGAACGCCGAAGCCTGCCCGAGCAAGGAGGAGGAGCAGCCTCGGCGGCATCCGTGACAGTACCCCCCCCTTGACGCGCGGCTCCAGCCGTGCGCCGACCCCGGCCTCGGGGACGGCCAGGAGGATGCGGAGCAGGGTGAGTGGGATGACTCCGGTGGAACTCTGTCAGGAGGGAGGGATCTAAGATGTCCCTCCTAGGCACCCAGCACCGTTCCTCCGGACCGTACCCCTCCCACTCCACGAGATACTGCAGACCCCCCATCCGACGTCTCGAATCCACGATGGACCGGACTGAGTACGCCGGAGCCCCCTCGATGTCCAGTGGGGGCGGAGGAGTCTCCTGTATCTCATTGTCCTGGAGTGGACCAGCTACCACCGGCCTGAGGAGAGACACATGGAACGAGGGGTTAATGCGATAATCATTAGGCAGTTGTAATCTGTAACATACCTCGTTCAATCTCCTCAGGACTTTAAATGGCCCCACAAACCGCCGACCCAGCTTCCGGCAGGGCAGGCGAAGGGGCAGGTTTCGAGTCGAGAGCCAGACTCGATCTCCAGGTGCATACACTGGACCCTCACTGCGGTGGCGATCGGCGCTTGCCTTCTGCCTACGGATAGCCCGCTGCAGATGGACATGCGCAGCGTTCCATGTCTCCTCCGAGCGCCGAAACCATTCATCCACCGCAGGAGCCTCGATCTGGCTCTGATGCCATGGTGCCAGAACTGGCTGATACCCCAACACACACTGGAAAGGGGTCAGATTCGTAGATGAGTGGCGAAGGGAGTTCTGAGCAACCTCTGCCCAGGGGATATACCCCGACCACTCCTCCTGCCGGTCCTGGCAATAAGACCTCAGAAACCTACCCACATCCTGGTTCACTCTCTCCACCTGCCCATTACTCTCAGGGTGGAAACCCGAGGTAAGGCTAACCGAGACCCCCAAGCGTTCCATGAACGCCCTCCAGACTCTAGAGGTGAACTGGGGACCCTGATCAGACACTATATCCTCAGGTACCCCGTAGTGCCGGAAGACGTGGGTAAACAAGGCCTCAGCAGTCTGTAGGGCAGTAGGGAGACCCGGCATTGGGATGAGACGACAGGCCTTAGAGAACCGATCCACAACGACCAGAATAGTGATATTCCCCTGGGAGGGGGGAAGGTCCGTAACAAAGTCTACCGATAGGTGAGACCACGGCCGTTGTGGAACGGGTAGGGGTTGTAACTTCCCCCTGGGCAAGTGTCTAGGCGCCTTACACTGAGCGCACACCGAGCAGGAAGAGACATAAACCCTCACGTCCTTAGCCAATGTTGGCCCCCAGTACTTCTCACTAAGGCAGTGCACTGTCCGGCCAATACCAGGATGTCCAGAGGAGGGTGACGTATGAGCCCAATAAATTAGTCGATCACGAATCTCGAGCGGCACGTACTTCCGCCCCGCTGGACACTCTGGAGGAGTAGGGTCGGTACGTAACGCCCGCTCGATCTCCGCATCGACCTCCCACACCACCGGTGCCACCAGACAAGACTCCGGCAGTATGGGAGTGTGCTCAATGGACCTCTCCTCTGTGTCATATCGCCGGGACAGGGCGTCTGCCTTAACGTTCTGTGACCCTGGTATGTAGGTGAGCTTAAAAACAAACCGGGCCAGAAACATGGCCCACCTAGCCTGACGAGGGTTCAGTCTCCTAGCTGCCCGGATGTACTCCAGGTTACGATGGTTAGTCAGAATGAGAAAAGGGTGTTGAGCCCCCTCAAGCCAATGCCTCCACACCTTTAGGGCTTGAACCACGGCTAGCAGCTCCCTGTCCCCCACGTCATAATTACGTTCCGCCGGGCTGAGCTTCTTAGAGTAAAAAGCGCAGGGCCGGAGTTTAGGAGGCGTGCCTGAGCGTTGAGACAGTACAGCCCCAATACCAGCCTCTGACGCGTCCACCTCCACTTGGAACGCTAAAGCGGGGTCCGGATGTGCCAGCACCGGAACCGAGGTGAACAGGTCCTTCAGTTGCCTAAACGCCCTGTCTGCCTCAGCCGACCACTGCAAACGCACCGGACCCCCATTTAGCAGGGAGGTGATGGGAGCTGCTACCTGTCCAAAACCCCGGATAAACCTCCGGTAGTAATTGGCAAAACCCAAAAACCGCTGCACCTCCTTAACCGTGGTGGTAGTCTGCCAATTACGCACGGCTGAAACGCGGTCAACCTCCATCTCCACCCCTGACGCGGACAACCGATGGCCCAGGAAGGAGATGGACTCCTGGAAAAACAGGCATTTCTCTGCCTTCACATACAAGTCATGCTCCAACAGCCTACCCAACACTTGACGCACCAGGGCCACATGATCGGCTCGTGTAGAAGAGTATACTAGAATGTCGTCAATATACACCACTACACCCTGCCCATGCAAATCCCGGAAGATCTCGTCCACAAATGATTGGAAGACTGAAGGAGCATTCATTAACCCGTATGGCATGACGAGATACTCATAGTGACCCAAGGTGGTACTAAATGCTGTTTTCCATTCATCTCCCTCCCTAATGGGCACCAGGTTGTAGGCGCTCCTGAGATCCAATTTTGTGAAGAAGCGCGCCAAATCATCATACTCAGGAGGAATGTGCAGTGCGGGCATTTGGTTCGGACTTTCCACCGTGGTCGCCCCTACGGAAACACCTATACACCGCCCGACACACTGATCAGACCACTCCCTGAGAGCCCTCTGTTGCCACGAAATGGTGGGGTCATGAGAGATTAACCAAGGAAGCCCCAGCACCACGGGAAACGCAGGAGAGTCGATCAGATACAACTGTATGATCTCCTCATGACCCCCCTGCGTCTTCATCTTTAGTGGCGCTGTGACCTCCCTAATTAAACCTGATCCCAACGGACGGCTATCTAGGGCATGAATAGGAAAAGGCACATCTACTGGTAGGAGGGGAATCCCTAACTTAACACAGAAATTACGATCAATAAAATTCCCAGCTGCGCCTGAATCGACTAGCGCCTTATGCTGGGAATGAGATGAAACCTGGGGAAATTCGACTTGAATACACAGGTGGACAACAGAGAGCTCTGGGTGAGTTGGGCGCCTACTCACCTGAAATGACTCATCAGTGCGTGACCTGTTGCCTCGATCCCCAGGAGACCCTCCCCAGCACCGAGCCGCAGTGTGTCCTCTACGGCCACAGTTGGTGCAGAGGACGGCCTCCCTCCGGGTCTCTCTCCTCCTCTCTCTAGCGCCAGCAACCCCGAGCTCCATAGGGCTCGGCTCGGAGGTACTGGGAGATGGAATGGACGGCCCCAACTCCGGACGTCCGCAACTCCGGACGTCCGCGGGTAGCCAGCAGGGTAACCAGACGGATCGACATGTCCACCAACTGATCGAAGCTTAGATTGGTGTCCCTGCAGGCCAACTCTCGGCGAACGTCCTCTCGTAGGCTGCACCGATAGTGGTCGATGAGGGCCCTCTCATTCCACCCCGCATTAGCCGCTAGAGTCCGGAAGTCCAGGGCGAACTCTTGTGCGCTCCTCTTCCCCTGTCGGAGGTGGAACAGACGCTCCCCCGCCGCTTTACCCTCTGGGGGATGATCGAAAACCGCCCTGAAGCGGCGGGAGAACTCTGCGTAGCTGATGGTGGCGGCGTCTATTCCCCTCCATTCGGCATTGGCCCACTCCAACGCCTTGCCGGATAGACAGGAGATGAGGGCGGAGACGCTCTCGTATCCCGAGGGCGCCGGGTGTATGGTTGCCAGGTAGAGTTCCACTTGAAGTAGGAAACCCTGACACCCGGCTGCGGTGCCATCATATGCCCTCGGGAGCGAGAGCCGAATCCCACTGGACTCCGGAGATGGTACGATGGGGCTGGCCGATGGTGGTGGTAATGTAGGAGGAGGTGTGGGCAAGCCTCCTCTTTCCCATCGGCTCAGAGTGTCCATCACATCTTGCATGGCGGTGTCGAGTCTACGGATCATGGCGTCCTGGCTGCTGACCCGATCCTCCAGCGACTCGGTCACCACCGCTGGTCCTGCTGACTACATGGGTGGTGTGTTATTCTGTCAGACTGGGGTGATGTGTATGCGGCAGTGAAGTCAGGCGCAGGACACAGAGGATCAGGAATGACTACTTTACTTCCAGTAATACGCACAAAAACAAAAGTCTCCAACACTAGAGGAGTAACACGCGGAGTGCGTAAAATAACGAGCTAGCAATGCCAAACATACGACAGGACAAAAGGACAATAACACACAAAGGCAAACATAAAACAAGGGAACTTATATGTTACATAATCAATACAAAATAAGAAACAGGTGTACAAACTAGACAACACAAGACACACACCGAAACATCGATCGGCAGTAGCTAGTACTCCGGGGACGACGAACGCCGAAGCCTGCCCGAGCAAGGAGGAGGAGCAGCCTCGGCGG